TTTTTTTCCCTACCTGATAGTGTAGCCTTGAGAGAGGCTATATTCCACGTGACCTAACTTTTTAGTAGGTGAGCTACCGGGGCTCAAACCTGACGAATGTTGCTAACCACGAACCCTAGCAAGAGTCGTGCTTCGCAGAATCTACCACCGGATCGGAAACACGCGACCCACTGAGAAGATCCGGCGAGAAACTTAGTGGGCTGTATCTGTTGGTTAATTTACTCGCCGAGCCCTTCGTCGCAAGCGAAGGACGGTGACCGGTGTACGTAAAAACACGTCATCTCGGATCCTCCCGATCCACTAACGGTGCTTCTAGGTACTTCAAGCACCGGTCACCGTTCTCGTCGAACCCGTCGCTTGCGACGAAGGGCTCGACGAGTAAATTAACTCTCAGACACAGCCCACTGAGTTTCTCGCCGGATCTTCTCAGTGGGTCGCGCTTCCGATCCGGAGGTAGATTCTGCGAAGCACGACTCTTGCTAGGGTTCGTGTTAGCATAGTCGTCAGGTTTGAGCCCCGTGAGCTCACCTACTAGTTAAGGTTCCGCTGGAATAGTCTCTCTAGGCTACCAGCTCAGGTAGGGAAAAAAAAACGTAATGACTTGTGCTATAGCGTAATGTAGCCACGGGCGGGTAAGTACCTCCTAGTCGGGTAAGTCCTGCCTAGTGTTGAAACGCGATAGTCATGTGTTCCGGTTTTATAGATAATAGTAGCTATGCGTGTTAATAAATATCATGAATGAAGTCAACATTTCGACAGTGACCTCACTGCTGAATGTCAAATAAAAATCGTTTCGCGCAAGTTTATGTACACTTATTTGCACGGAAAAATAAGCCCATTTTTACAAATACGTAATTAGAAATAGCAATATCAGTGCAGTCGAAACATTCATAGAAATATTCAGTGGGTATCTTATCTTCAGTGCGCTAGTAATAATTCGAGCCCACTGGTTCTGATCTGATCTTTTGCATTCCTTCCGTGAACATTTTTTTTTAATGTTTATTTTATTATAATATTACTTATATTATCTACTTTAGTAACATAAAAACGTAACCCATTTTTATTTCACTCTATTTATGACTATTTTTTGAGCCTTTCTCAAGTATCTTCTGCAAAGGCTATTAACTAACAGTTCCTCAATTTTGCTCGATATGATGTTCAGAAGACTGTTGCCACTTTCATGTTTAGTTGACGGATTTATGAGCACCGTTCACAGCTAAACAACCGGTGGACTAATCTATGTATTTTCAGTTTTCTCCTAATGAATTTGTTTTAATCTAATCGATTATAAAATAGAGTTCGTTTTTGAATATTCTAAATATGGCACTCACCCGTAGGAGCTCAGAGAGACGCTGTAACCAAAATAACCTGACCCTCCATCGTTGGGGTGAAACGTTATTTTTGATCCCTCGTGGAATACGTCAATACCGGATACAAATTCACAACACAGTAAAACGCTTAAATAGATAATTGATCTATACATTTTTTTAAAATATAATTAACAAACTATTTACGCAAGTTATTGTATTTTTTTATTGGAACAATGACGCGACGTACACTTCAGATGTTAGCGGTAAATGAACTAAAATTGAAATGATAAAATGTCCAGACTTCGTTTATGTGCATTATTATGAAGCTCATGTCAATTAGCTAATGATTTCAACTTAAAAATTAATTATTTAAATGTATTGTTTCGTGTAGTTGGGTAGATGAATTTAGTGTTTAAATTGCCTAAGTGGTAAGCATTGGTATCACAACTTGTCTGACATAATACCTCATGAGACCATCATTCTGGTTATTTCTACCACGAAGCATTCATGGGTTCCGGTTAGCAGCGTGGGATAGCTATTATACAACTGAAGCTTTGACTTGATGTCTTCATGTGGGTGGCATCATTAATGAGATTTGCCCTTGTAGGCAGACGAGCATACGGCCCACCTGATTGTGAGTGGTTACCGTTGCCCGTAGAGTTCAGCAATGCCAGGGGCAGAGCCAAGCCGCTGCGTACCGCTTATATACTCTCCACAAGCCTCGTTTGAAGAAGGACATGTCATAGCGCTCGGGAAACACTGTGGAGGGGAGCTTATTCCATAGCCGGATGGTACGTGGCAAAAAAAAAGCCCTCTGGAAACGCACTGTGGATGACCGCAGTGGCTCCAGGTAGTATAAATGAACTCTACTCCGGTGGCGGGCGGTGCGATGGTAAAAACGAGATGATGGTATCATCTCGAACAATTAATTCCTCAGACGTTCCAAACGATCCTGTGGCCATTAAATACTATATGGATCGGCAACTCCTTTATTTGTTTACGCAAAAAAAAACAATATTAAGCGCACGTACAGTTCGTTCGGCTGTCGGTCCGACTTGTGATAAAGATTTCGGACCCTGTAGCTCAGTGGTCGGGTCACTCACCACAATATAAACAAGATAATACAAACACAACAAATGCCTTATCAATGTGCGGAACTGTGTATCTCTGTAAACTTTATTTTATTTATTGTATCTTTGCTAATAACATCAGAATGTTTATTGAAATACAAGGCTAATAGGGTATGGCATCATGAGGACGAAAGTCGTGGATGAAGGTATGATGAGCAAAATTGGAGGACTACTTTTGGTACCTCCTACCGCCTACCAAAATTGGAGGAGGCTAGTATGGAGGAGGTGGTAGATTCTGAGTAGCACGGCTCTTGCTGGGGTTCGTGTTAGCAATGTCATCAGGTTTGAGCCCCGTGAGCTCACCTACTAGCCACGGTTACGCTGAAATAGCCTCTCAAGACCATCTGCTTAGGTAAGACACAAAAAAAAATTGTAAACCCAAAACTACCCTATCCGTTTCTTTGATGTCTATGGGCTTTAGTATTCTTAAGTTAAACCTCCTCAGTTAATGAATACCGGTGAATTCGATATCCGGGAAGATCTTCTTCTTGCCCTTTTCCCCACAATTTCGGCGATTGGATTGGCAACAGGATCAGCGCAGCATGTCCATATCTTCATCATGCTGCATAGGGATTTGACATGAGTTTTACGACCTGCCTAACGTCAACCGTCCTAGGAATATATCTCCAATAGTATATCTATCGCAACATTCACATCATTCTACTAGCTTTCCTATTTCTTCAATAATGTTGTCACGTTGACATTACAGAATATACATAGAATTATTATTATTATTATACAAATGTTAAATGCTAAATGTTACATTTTAATTCTCATCTAAATTGAGAAATTAAGAAATTTCAATTTCATTATTCTCCAATCTTACTATCCCTTGCGCCGTCACCATCGGAAGTAAAGCAGTTGTTCAAATAACATAATCACCCTATTATTAAATACTTAAAAATACATATTTATCATCATTACATCATCACTCAACGTATTAGTCATGAACAAACAACGGATTTGAATGTACAGTTAAAATCAACTATTTATTGCGCTTTGTATTGTGATGACTATGTTGAAAAATATACCTACAAACATTGTTTACTGCGCAATGCGAATGCCTTTTTAAAAACTTTGCTTTGTGCATGTATTAAATGGATTTGAAAAAAAAGTATATAATAAAAGTATATACTATCTAATAAAAAGAAAAAAATGTATATTATATATATACAAACCTATTTTTTTAGCCCACGTTTTTATTAGTTTAATGCGCAACAGCAAAATAAGTACTTCAAAATAATTTATAAATTCTTTGCCGCAAATAGCACCTAATTAATTTTTAAATTCCAGTGTAATTAAAATGCATTAAAAGAGTGTTCTTGCTATCTCTCTCCCACGTCGACATCTTAGTTTCTGTGACGTCATGTCATGTACTTCACAGTGCGCCCTGGAAAAGTATCAAAATGTATTGAACTATAAATATATGAAATAAATGAAAAATATTAAGTATTATAGTCACTTCTACACAAACAATATATTACAAAAAGTCAATATGTGATTGGTAAATATATTAAGTTAGCACAGTAAAATCTTTTGAAGAAAAATGAGTCGGCATTATTGTTCTGACCAATGTAATCGGTGTTTCTAGACAGAGCTCCGCTCTAAGTTTGATGTTGTATAGAGCGTAGTCTTCGACTATTGTCTCCAGTTGTGTGGAATTAACGTGGTCAGAAAATCTGAATCTAACACTCCTTGGACTCGATTTCAATTCCTGTAAATCTATCTCGGAATATTGTACTGGAATATATTTGTAATTTTGGCTTATCGTCTGATCACAGAGCGGCATCCATAAAACTACTCCAGTTATATCCCAATCTTATCTACCAACTTTGTTTTCAAACTATTTGTTATCCGTATTCCCCAAAAATAAGCGAAACTTGTTGTGGGATAGGTGATTAATCGTAATGCAACACTGATATCTGTTGTGCCAACCCTCTTAGGCTGGAGTACATCAAGGAAAAAAATACATTTTACCAGGGAAAAAGTTCGAATTACAAAAGTTTCTCATTTACACTGGTGGTAGGACCTCTTGGGAGTCCGCTCGGGTATGTACCTCCACCCCGCCTATTTCCGCCGTGAAGCAGTAATGCGTTTTGGTTCGAAGGGTGGGCTAGCCGTTGTAGCTATACTGAGATCTTAGAACTTATATCTCGAGGTGGATGGCGCATTTACGTTGTAGATGTCTATGGGCTCCAGTAACCACTTAACACCAGGTGGGCTGTGAGCTCGTCCATCCATCTAAGCAATAAAAAAAAAATCTCTCTACACTTTTCTAATATTAGAATAGTTCGATATTCTGTCATTTGTTACAAAATAATAATATGACGTTTAAAAATTCGAAAAATAATGTCATATCAACGCAACAGCTGATAGATCAATATGGCGTCTTGTCATAACAAAAGTTGATTCAAAGACATTAAAATTAAATGCTCCATAAAATTCTCAAAAATTAAATCTTCTAACATATGGATCTGCAGTTTTATTTACCTATTCGGAAATGCAAGATAAGCTATTCTTAGAAAACTTATTCTTTAACTGTGAAGCGAAATAGAATTGTACAGAATGTATGACAAAAATGTATGTGACATAAACGACCATTTATGTTCTCTAACTAATTCAGTTAACAAAATATTATTAAATTTTGAATAATGGATATAATTTAATTCATTCAACACAGAATATAAGCTATGTGAAACTTAGTTTATTCCAGATGTTCACAACAAAACTAAATAAAATTAAATAAACAAAAATTGGTGAAAGTTACATACCTAAATAATAGATTAAGATTCCCCGTGTTATGGGTGTCAGGGACTGACATGCATACTTATATGCGTTTAAATATGTATGTACATATATAGATAATAAACACGCAGAAGAAGAGCAAACAAACCTGTTGATCACACGAATGTTTGCCCGATGTGGGAATCGAACTCACGACCCACGGCGCAAGAGTCAGGGGAGCTAGCTACTGCACTACCCAGTCAGTTCAAAGTCAATTGAATATGCAATTTCGAAAAGGGCACATCTCTGAAAATGTAAAATGTTCAGGAAATGAAAAAAAACTGATTATTTTCTAAAGCAGTGTAAAATTTAAAATATTAACTTTTGAGATATATTTTAGTGTTAAATAGCAATTGAAAATTACTGGAATTATTATAAAATGGGTGTAGGTAAGCCTCAAAACTACATGTATATGAAAAAACAAATTGACAAAATATGCGACATGTGCCCTTTTCGAAATTGCATATTCAATTACATTAGAAGTTAAGTTATAAAACGCATTAATTAAACACGTAAGCGTATCAAAATACTAAATCCGATGATTATTTTAAACAAATTCGATAATAAATATTTTCAGTGGATAAGTACATGATTTTATTAGCTGCAATATTAAAATTTTAGGTCAATGGCACGTTCACATGTACTTATGGCGGATGTCCACAACAGATACAAACAAATATCACCTTCCAATAATTTTGATAAATAAAACAAAACGATAACTTTCGCGCTAAATAAAAATAAAATACTTACTGACTATACTGACTACGCAAATAACAAAATAAAAATAATATTATCTTATCTTATATCTTTAAACGTGAAATTTTTGTATATAAATATATATATATAATCTGAATCTCGGAAACGGCTCCAACAATTTTCATAAAATTTCGTATACAGGGTATTTCGGTGGCGATAAATCGATCTAGCTACGATTTATTTTCCAAAAATGTTGTTTTATTCGTGTTTTCAATAATCAACTTTATCGATAATCAACTTAAACATAAACTTTTTTTATTGAAAGAAAACAACAAATAATATAATATAATATCAATATGTAATTCGTATTTAAATAAATTTCTAAAAAACACAATTTATTAAAAAAAAAAAAACCATTCTCTAGTGATATATTATTAGCAGTAATTAAAGTTAGCGGGTTCTTCTCAAACCACCTTTTTTCCCTCCCTATTCGCTGGTAACCTGAGAGGCTATTCTAGCTACGCTGGTAAGTGAGCTCACGGCTCAACCCGAGGAAAGTATTTGCTAACACTAGTCCTAGCAAGAGCAATGCTTCGTAGAATCTACCACCGGATCAGAATCGCGACACACTGAGAAGA